TTGAGTTATCTATTATTAAGATATTTTAATTTGTCATCAATGAAAACATATTTTAATCATGGGTAAAATTAGGATTTTAAGGGTAAAATTGTATAATTACATAAAGGTAAAATTGAGATTTTAAGTGGACTAAATGTTAGTTACTATATTATACTTGATATTATGTTAGATAGTGAATTATAGGTGTAAATGCTAATATCCATGCTAATTTTTTTTTTAAAATTTGCATAGATTTTTTCTAATATAAAAATTGATGATTTTGCTCATAATTCATTATTTATAGGAGTAAAAATGTTTAAATCAATTTTTAACAAATATATGTTTAAAATTTTAAACAATGGAAATAGTTTAAAAATCTATAACTATTTAATTTTAGAAAATTTATAGAAGCTCATATATTCATAAAAACATTTATTAACAATTTATAGTTTTTAAAACAAAATCTACATATTTTAAACTATCTTTGAATATGTTAGATTTTGACTATTAAATTCTAATCATATAAAAAAGTTATTTCCTTCTGAACTTTTTTTTGCGTCTAAATATTAAATTATGAAACGATGGAAATAGAAGATTATTATTTTTTGAGTATTGTTGGTTATGATCTGAGTTTTCCTTTCTAAAGTCTCACGGGTATAATACATTAGAGGACATGGATACCATATAGCCTACAAAAGGAGATTGATTAGAGAAGATTCTTACATATATGTTAATGTAGAAAAAGAGCGAGAAGAAAAGTTCTTAGATTGATAAGAAATGGGTTGTATAAGTTTCGTCTGCTTCCTATAAATCTCTAAATCGTTTTAGGTTTTGTTCTTCTTGTTTTCACTCGAACATGGATTATTCAGATGATGACATGCTCGAGGATAATTATCATTACAGTGACGATGATGATGTTAGAGATTCCGAATACATGGACGAAGAAGATTCCACATCGAACCGTGCTCAAATAGGTTACGTGGTTCTCAAGGAAGAAGACATTCACAAGCATCAAAGAGACGATATCGAACGAGTTTCAACGATTCTTTCTATAAGCCAAGCTGAAGCGATCGTTCTGCTTCTTCACACTCATTGGAGTGTTAGTAAAGTCGAAGATGAATGGTTTACAAATGAAGATAGAGTTCGTAGTCTCGTTGGTATATTGAAGGAGCATGTGTTTGAATATAATCATTGTAGAGAAGTAAATGTTGCATGTGGAATTTGCTTTGAATCATATGCTCAAAATGAAATCTTAACGGTTTCTTGTGGTCATCCTTATTGTATTACTTGTTGGACCGGTTATATCGCTGCGAAAATCGACGATGGTCCGGGTTGTTTGATGGTTAAATGTCCTGAGCCTTCTTGTTCTGCTGCAATAGGTCAAGATTTGATCGATAAGGTTACTAATGAAAAAGACAAGGATAAGTATTATAGGTTTCTTTTTAGGTCTTATATCGAAAATAGGGGTGTCAAACGAGTCATT